TTGCAAACAGCAGTTTTTACACAAGATGGTGGTTACTACATCATGGGATACTTGTATTTCTCTGACTAGCTTACTTCACTTAGCATAATACTCTCCAGGTCCCTCCATGCTGTCTTAAATGGTAAGAGATCCTTCTTTTTTACTGCTGTATAGTATGCCACGTTGTAAATGTACCACAGCTTTTTTTATCCACTCATTTACTGATGGGCACTTGGGCTCTTTTCAGATCTTAACTCTTGTAAATTGTGCTCCTGTGAACATAGGGGTGCATACATCCTTTCTGATTGGTGTTTCAAGATTCTTAGGATATATTCCTAGAAGTGAGATCACTGGGTCAAATGGAAGTTCCACTTTTAATTTTTTGAGGAAACTCCATACTGTGTTCCATAGTGGATGCCCCCCCCCCACCCGCATTTCCACCAGCCATGTACTAGGTTCTTCTTTCTCCACAACATTGCCAACACTTGTCACTTGTGGACTTATTGATGGTAGCAATTCTGGCAGGTGTGAGTTGATACCGATGCCCCCCGCCCCCCGCATTTCCACCAGCCATGTACTAGGTTCCTCTTTCTCCAGAACCTTGCCAACTCTTGTCACTTGTGGACTTATTGTTGGTAGCAATTCTGGCAGGGGTGAGTTGATACCTCATTGTCATTGAGCATTTTTTCATGTCTATCGGTCCTCTATATGTCTACTTAGGTCCTTTGGCCATTTTTTAAATTGGATTTTTTGTCTACCTGGTGTTGAGTTGTATAAATTCTTTGTATAGTTTGGAAATTAACTCCTTAGTAGATATTTCATTGGCAGTAGGTTCCCTTTTCATTGTGTTGATGGTTTAGTTTGCTGTGCAGAAGCTTTTTGATGTAGTCCCATTTGTTTTTCCATTGTCTCCTTGCCCTTGGTGATGTAACAGTGAACATCCTGCTTCGTGAGATATCTGAGATTCTACTGCCCAAGTCTTCTTTTACAGTTTTTATGATTTCAGGACTTACCTTTAAGTCTTTTTTCCACTTTGAGTTTATTCTTTGTGTATGATAAGTTGGTGGTCTAGTTTTTGGTTTTTTTTGCATGTGCTTAGCCAATTTTCCCAACATCATCTATGAAGACACTATCTTTGATGCTCTTAACTCCTTTGTCAAATATTAATTGACCAAAATGATGTGGGAAAATTTCTCAAGATTGCTGTTGCTATTCAGGGTCTTAGTTGGTTCCATATAAGTTTTTGAACATTCATTCTAGATCTGTGAAATATGCTGTTGGTATTTTAATAGGGATTATATTGAATCTGTAGACTGCTTTGGGTAGTATGGACATTTTAATGATGTTAATTCTACCAATCCATGAACTTGGTATATGCATCCAGTTTTTGGTATCTTCCTCTATTTTTTTTTCAATATCCTACAGTTTTCTGAGTGCAGATCTTTTACTGCCTTGGTTAAATTTACTCCCAGGTATCTTATTTTTTGTTGCAATGGTAAATGGGATTGCTTTCTTTTAAATTTCTCTTTTTGAGAGTTCATTATTGGTGTATAAAAATGCTATCAATTTCTGGATGTTAATTTGCCAAATTCATTTATTAAATCTAGCAGTTTTTTTTTTGATGGAGTCTTTAGGTTTTTCTATGTACAATATCATGTCATCTGTGAATAATGAGAGTTTTACATCCTCTCTTCCAATTTGGATGCCTTTTATTTCTTCTTGTCTGACTGTTGTGGCTAGGACTTCCAGTTCTATGTTGAATAAGAGTGGTGAAAGTGGACATCCCTGTCTTGTTCCTGATCTTAAGAGAGATGCTTTTAGATTTTGTCCATTGAGTATGATGTTGGATGTCATATATGGCCTGTATTATGTAGAGGCATGAGCCCTCTGAGGGTTTTTTTTTTTTAATCATCAATGGGTGCTGGATTTTGTTGAATGCTTTTTCTGAATCTATTGATATGATCATGTGATTTTTATCCTTCGTGATTTTGTTGAAGATTTTAGCACCTATGCTCATCAGGGATATTGGCCTATAATTTTCTTTCTTTGTAGTGTTTTTATCTGGTTTTGGAATTAGGATAATGCTGAACTCATAAAAAGAGCTTGGAAGTGTCACTTCCTCTGGAATATTTTGGAATAGTTTCAGGAGGATAGGTGTTAATTCTTCTTTGAGTCTTTGATAAAACTCACTTGTGAATCCTCTCATTATTTCTTTAAATAAATTCTCTGTTCCTTGTTCACTTTCTTCTTCTTGTATCCCTGTGATGCAAATGTTGTTTCATTTGACATTTTCCCAAAGTTCTCTTAAACGACCCTTTCCATTTTGCTGCTCTAATTAGGTGTTTTTTTTCTACCTTGTCATCCAAATAACTGTTTGAACTTCTTCCTCATTCATTCTACTTTTGATTTCTTCCAGTGTATTCTTGATATCAGATACATTTTTCCTCATTTCATACTGATTCTTATTCATGGTTTCTATTCGTTATTTCATGTGCTTGTAGTTCCTACTAAGTTCCTTGTAATTTTCGTTAAGTTCCCTGATAACCATTACTTATACCATATCCTTATAACCATTACTTTGCACTCTAAATCTGATAAATTGCTTGCCTCCATTTTATTTAGCTCTTTCCCCCCCTGGAGAATTTTCTTGTTCTTTAATTTGGGGCTTGTTCCTTTGTATCCCCATTTTGGCTGCCTCTTTGTGTTTGTTTCTATGTATTAGGTAGATCTACTATGTCT